TCTCTCTCTCTCTCTCTCTCTCTCTCTCTCTGTCAATAAAAATGTTTCACACTGCGAGCGTCAAAAACGCAAGTACAGAGACGGGCAAAGGTGTTCGCGCGCTCGATGAAAGATTATCGATACCTCGAATCGTTCAAGCTTCGTGAAACAACGAGATTTGGCGTCGTTTTAAATAATGAAACCTCTACTTTGCTAGTCTTGAGTTGGGTGCTTTTGTTGTCGAAAATTGTAAGAATTAGAAACGTCCCCAAAAATCAGTGAAAAACTTGCTTCGTAGCTGGTTTTAGTTTTGAGGATCTAATCGAAGTCTTCCTTTAAAATTTGCTGTACCATTTTTCTTTTTCCTTTCTTTTTCTTCCTATTTTATTGAACCTCGAACGTCAGAGTTCGAGAAATTCCAACATTTTGTCATATCACCTAAAGTTCAAAGTTCAATAAAATGACGAAAAAAAAAAAAATCGTACAATTTTAAGAGATCGTTTTGTGATCTTCAAGAGCGGTGGCAGAGTCATGAAAAAAAATTCCTTGACGTCTTTTCGAAAGACACTCGAATTTTTACAATTTTCGAAGACAATCGAAGGCTATCACGTAATGTAAAAAACTTTACTTTAAAGTTATGATAGTTTAAAATACAGACAATTTTTCATCGAATGTGCGAATACTTTTGTTAACCTACGTAATATTCTAGCTAACAGATAACATCGAATATAGTTTTTAAGTTTGCGACAGTTGTTCGAGCCCCTTGGTTGACGAGTGAATCAAGTCTCTTTTTTTTTTTAACTCGACTGCGTCCCTCGGCACATTTCTGTCCCCGTCTGACTATAATCTGACTTTTCTAATTTTTTTCGAATGTACAGGGTGAGTCGTAACAACCAGAACTAGAAGAAACAAACAGAGAGTTTGGTAGAATATTTCCCACGCAACATCCATAGAGAGTCGAGTTTGAAAATTTGCGAGATTCCTGGCGCGACGAACAAGGAAAGTTTAACTCGGAAATTCAAAAAATTATGACACTTCGCCATACGAGGGACGTGACCGAGTTAATTTTGTGACTTTCGCGTGGTATTTTAGAAAGAGTACGTAGCTTTATTGTGAAGCAAGCAAACTGAAAGAATAGTAACTGTTAAATTCCGGATTTCTATGTATTTGTAAGAAAAAAACATGAAAAAAATATATGAAATATCCAGAGCATAGTGCTTCCTTAAATGTAAAACAATTTCTATATTTCTATACTGTTTATTATTTTTGTTTATCATTTTTCAGCCCGTTTAATTCCCTTTTAGTCGCCTTTTACGACAATCTACAATTTTGATGTATTATTTGTTTGCTTATAATATGTATCCGCAGTTTAGTTATAACAACAGAATTCAAGAAAAAAGTGAATAAACAATCGACTGTCATTATGTACTTACAATGATTTGACTCAGACAAAGAATTGACTCTTATCTTTTATCAATGTAAAATAAAACATACACAAATGAAACACT